AAGAAAGAAAAGAAGGATAGAAAGAAAAGAAGGAAAGAAAGAAAAGAAGGAAAGAAAAGAAGGAAAGAAAGAGAAAGGAAGGAAGGAAGGAAGAAGAAAGAAAGAAAGAAAGAAAGAAAGAAAGAAAGAAGCAAAATCCGTACTTTCCAACAATCAGACGTTGACAGAATGGTGCCCTTTACAATTAGAGTCCAGTTCCTAATTGTGTTACAGCTCTGCTCTAATAAGGGGAAGGTTTCCCCAACTGTATAGTTCTGCTTAGGCAGGGAAGGTTTCCCCGATGCAAGTGTTACAGCTCTCCTGGGAAAGGTACCCTGGCAATCAGGAACCAAGAAATACCACAAAGTCACACCATGTAAAAAACCTCACATAGATTTATTGGAAGGGAAAACCCAGAAGAGTGGCTGCCTCTGCTCTGACAAGGAGCAGGGAACTGAGGAGAAGGCAGGTCTTATATAAGGCTGCTCAAGAGATGAAGCTTCCGGGGTGGTCTGGGATTTGTTGGAGTCTAGTCAGAGTCTGGGGCAAGCTCGGGATTGGTGGAACTCTGTTTCTTGGCCTGGTCTGAGGGTCAAGTCTGGGTCAGGGTCTTTCCTTGACCCTTTTACCCTAAATTCATCTCTGTCATCTTTCCTCAAAGTGCCAGTCTCAGGAAGGATTAATTGTGTTATAAAATTTGCTAACTGACAAGATAGAGAATTTCATGTACTATAAAAGGGTAGGTCCCTCTCAGAGGACAATTCTCTGAGAATTGAAATTGTTAAGATTCTACCTGTCCAACAGCAGATACTCTTTACTGAAATGTCTTTAACTATTATGGTTTGGTAAATACTTTTATTCCTATTCTTTGGATTTATCAAATCCACATTTCTGGGCTCAAATAGTACAATCTGTGGGCCTGCTTCTTTGTGTTTTAGGTATAATGCTTACTGTTTGCTTTTTTGACTCACAGGTTAGTCAAAACACATGATATAGTGCACCAGGCCTTTAGCTTTGTAGTGTCTATGTTCAGAGGCATTGCTCACAGATCTGCAAGTTCTACAGTTTGCATTTTTCAGATGGAAAAGAGATTCAGGTGTCAGCCTAGTCTGTGGGAAGAGCTTTATATTGTCCCAGAACTTGGTTGATGTTAACTTTGTCTATATTAATAACTTGTTTTTTTGAGAAAGTGTATTATTAGGCATGGGGCCAGAAGGAAGAGGCCCCTGATGGTTGTGATCAGGCCCATTAGAGGCAAGAGACAGGTAATGAGGGGGTTGGGGTACCAGGAGGCAGGATCATTGAAGGTTTATCAGGACCTCAAATTGTAGCAGAAGTTGCAAAGGGCCTTAATACTTTGTTCAAACAATTTCAATTCATTTACATAGAAAAAACATTCTTCCTCAAGGACTACACAACCTCCTCTCTACACCCTGTTCTGCTGTCAGGAGGTCCAGAGTCGTCCTGTTTTGTAGTACAACTCTGGGAATAGTGGTCATCTGTACAGGAATGTAGAGGTAGGGGACCCTCAAAGAGGGAGAAACTAAAGGGTTTACTAAAGGAGAAACCCAGGTCTGAGGAAGAACCATACAAGGTAGAATTAACAGGTGCCATGACTAAGAGGGGACCCAGAAGGGAGGCACAGAATAAACATCTTGGGCACTGAGGTGGGATGTGAGGAGCAGAAGGCCAGAAGCGCATGGAACATGTTGTAGCCAGGATTGAGTATTTCTTCTCAGTTGTGTTTCCTGTTCAAGAATATTTTTATGGGTTAATGTGGACTGGGAGCCCTGTACCAGCTATCAAGAGACATGAACATGAGCAGAGGGGCACGCAGCATAGCTGGTGGGATATGGTTTCCCCATGATTTTTGTTCTCTATATGTCATCTATAACAACAATGAGACAATTAATCAGGTTTTTCAGGCTATTTCTGTGAGAGCTGAGTTCAATTTTATAGGACCAATAACAGTAGCCTCCATAAAAATCCTGATTCATGAGGCAGCCTGCTTCTCCTTTGTGACCTTTTTGTCAATAGAGGAGGCAGAGAAAGGGCTACAGACATGGAGTTAGGACAGACAGGAACAGAAGTAGAGCTTTCGCCTGTGTGGTTGGTGCAGTCTGCAGACCTGTGCGCCTGGTTCTTGCCATCATAGGTTTTCTGATTGGAAACACACCAGTGGTGGATGTTGGGGAGAGAATTAGGGGTTTGACCAGTAGTGGAACAGGCCTGCAATATAACAAAGACTATGTCATTAAAACAGCAGAGAGAGAGAGGTTTGAGGAGGGCATGTGCATTGTGAAGTTGCTACTAGATTATGCATGTCCTTCCAGGAGATCTTGTTCCTTGGCTGTGGATATCTTCTTCTGGGTCTCTTCCTTCCCCTTCCTGTCAGTGATAGACAGGTCAATTTCTTGTTGGGTGTCCGTGCTGATATCCAGATAGACCAAGGCTGATCCTGTAGGGACAAACGAACAAACCCTTCCCACCATCAGGAGGAGGTCAGGTCACTTCCAGATCCTGCCTAGGGGGTCCCACAATCTCACCAACAAGTGTGTGTGTGTGATCAGTTGTGGAGTATTCCAATGAAGAATAACGGGTGTTTTTTGTTTTTATATACATTAAGAATGTTTGCTGTTGTTAGGGCCATTGTCCACTGAACATGAGGAGGGTAAGAGGTTACATCTTGACTTTTTTTTTTTTTAAATCTGGGTTTTGAGAATTTGGTATGCTATTTTAATTATACCTTGTCCTTGGGGATTATAAAAGATCCCTGCATAGTAATTTCCCACATAGAGCAGAAGGTCTCAAAATGAATGCTGATGAAGGCAGGGCCATTATCGGTCTTGATTTGTTGCGGCAGGCCCATAATGGTGAATGAGGAGACCATGTGGGATATTATAAGTATTTTAGAGCTCTTTACCATTTGGGCTGAGGCCTTTATGAAATGGGAGTGTTTATTGTAACAAAAACCATATTTTCCCACCCAAATTGGAGTACATGGGTGACATCAGTCTGCCAGAGGGTATTGGCCTTGAGGCCTCAGGGGTTGACTCCCATTCATTGTATTATAGGAGTGGTAATTTGAATTGCAAGATTTTATGATCTGGTGTAGTTGATTGGATGGAATATGGGGGAATCAGGATTGATTAACCTTTAAGGTTAACATGAATGTGTGAATGAAAATTCTGTGCTTGTTTAAGTGTGGCTGTAAAAATTCCCATTGAGGCTACTTGGACATCCAAAGAGTATAGGCTTATATTTTTCAAAACTTACTTTAATAAGTGTATTTAAATACTTTAACCTCCTTTCTAGCCCACCGCCCAATAGAGGTTGTGGAAAGGAAAGGTTAATAAGGCAAAGGAGGATGCGGACCTGTTTAGAAATAGTTCTTTGGGGTGAATCCAATCTGTGTTGTCAGGGTGTCAGCAGTTCAGTTCACAGGAATCAGCAGTGGTAGCTCGATCCACACCCAAGCACCATTCATGAATCAGCACTGGCAGTTCGATCCAGAGAAACCTCAAGGCTCTGCCAATCATCCCAAGTCTGTGGAAGTGGCAAGAAGCTGCTGCTGGAGCACCACCAGAAGATCTTTGGTACATTTCTCTCAATGAAGCCATGACAAATGAAGACCAGCAAAGAGTGGCAAGGCAAACCAATACCACACTGCGTTGTCCACTGTCTGTTGGGTTATATTTATATCCTTTGCAAATACCATGTGTTTCCTCAAGTGTCCACTCTAGCAAAACATCACATGCCCCTTTTCCAGACAGCTTCCAAACAAAACAAAACAAAACAAAACAAAAAACCATGTGTCTGCTTCAGCAAAAACATCTCTCATAAGACAATTTCCAGAAAAATATCACACAGCTGAGTTTCCAAAGAAACTAGAAATTTCCACTTCAAAAGAGTTTCCCTTGGATATAGGGCCAGGTAGGGCGGCATGAGATGGAACATGTTGGACAAAGAGGAGAGCAGTCCTCCCTTGAATGAAATTGGAAACTCTTAGCAGCAGTAGGGAGAGGGGATTTTCATCTAACTGGACCAAAGATATGGTGAGCCAGAGGAGTAGATTAACAACTTACACATTGTCAGAAAATAAGTTGAAAGAGCCATCTTTCTCCTCAAGGTTTGTGTAATCCACCTCCCTGGATTTGGGGGAGCAGTCAAGGAGCTCCCAAAAATGAACAGTTAGGGCTAGATCTCTGGGGTGGAAAATTATGATGGCAGGTTCCCCCCAGTTTTCCCCCCATCAGTGAGGATGGAAGGAGCCTCAGGAATTGGTTTTCATGAAAAAAAGGAAGGAGGGGGAATCCATGTCAACAGTTGCTTGGCTGGAATAATGGTTATCAGTTCGCACGGAGAAACTCATTAGGCTGATGGCAAAGCAGGGATGATTTTTAAGTAACCATTGTGCAGGGTTGATTAGCTCGTGCGTGGGCATGCACGTGGCTTCTGTTGGACTGAGTTGTGGTTCCCTCGTGTCTGCCAGGGATCAGAGAGGCAGAAGCATGCGGGAATTTTGACTGAGTTCACTCTGTGTGGTGCCAGGTGGGCACCGAGGGGCCCCACCTGGTGCTGGGAAATCTCCTCAGTCTGAAGTTCTGTGGGGGGAGGTGGGTGTG